GAGCTCTTCGTGTTCAGGCATTTTTACCTACATAACTAAAACATCCAGTTACTACATCACTCAAAGGCTGTGTCTGTCTAACATCAAAGATTCATCTCTTGTTGCAGAGTGAATTTGGTATACGATAAACATAATCAAAGTTCTTACATAAACACAAAAATATTTTTACAGATATATACAACAGTTATACAAAGCATATAGTGACATCTCCTTAATGGTTTGCTCCAGATGTCAGTAATAGTTCTCAAATACAAGTTTTCCTATAAGTTATAAAAGCAATCAGAAATAGCATAGTTTAATGTTCTCTTTATAAGATAGTCATGAACATCAATAGGTATTTTTTTAGATGAATGCACATATATCTTTAAATATAGCAATTCACTTCTAATAATATATCTTATGGCTGCATCAACATGAATATATCGACTATATCAGTATTAATTAAAATACATATATTAGCAAATTTGCTTCAACATTGACTTAGTAAGAAAAAGATCGACATAAAAATATATCCAGAGGACTGGTGGAATAATAAGTAGTGCACAAACAGAATGAAACTCTATGATAGATTCTAAAAAGAATAAGACAAATGTATATGTACTGAACCAGAAATACGTTTAGAATATACTCCTAAACAGAAATAAATTGCAAACAGATACATGTACTAGGATTTCATTTTTATAATGTATATATACACACACACACACAGACAGCCATGCAAGTTAATTGTATATAAATATGTTGTCTTAAATATAAATATATAACGTATGTATTTACAGAAGGTAAATTGAGGAATAATTCTTGAGGGACTTGGATCAGATTGATAGGAATTACCTTTGAGAAAGGGGAATGACTAATAGACAGAGGATCATCTACTTCTCATTGTGTATAATTCCAAAAGTAGTAGTAGGATTTTAAATGACTTTTACCTTTTGTCAATGCTTCCAAATTTAAAAAACCAAGATAGGTAAATTACGTCAACCAAAATATTCTTTAGAAAGGGGGGTTTAAAAAAAATCCCCAAGCAGAGCCATAAATCTCTTTTTTTATGATATGAATAAGGCAAATGTCATCTTTAAGAAAAGAACATATATAAATCCAAACACTGAGCCATTTTAAGAGCTGCCACCTTTATCCCTGGCTGGGTGGGGCTGGGATGACTTGTGACACCAGTGAATGGGTGTACACACAGTAGCTACAGTCTAGGAACCATAAACACTGGACATAACCACGGGTCTGCTAAAGGGCGCCAAGTATACGATCCGAGTGGCCAGAAGGAATACAATATCCACATTGCACTTGAGAAGCAAGAGATTGATTTGACACTTCGTCCACCAAGGGCACAAAAGATATGCACAAGTGGCAAGCCCTCAACATTAGTTCAACTCACTACTTAGGCACTTGCAAGGACAAACACCAAGCACATAAATGAAAATAGCATGTTTTTGCTTTTTTTCCCAAAAGCTGTGGTCTTTACAAAGTTATCTACCATATACCAGGGTATAAGCAGTCACTTAAAATTCAATGCAATCATATGGAAAAACAAGAACATTACTTTAGGACAAATAAAATGGTCATTTTTACATTATAACATGAGACTTCCCAATACCAAGAAATTCTCCGTTGCTATAACCAATAACTTGGCACGTAGTTAATGTATGAGATACTCACTTCTGCTCTGGAGCCACTTGGTGCTTTAATACTGGCAGGAGACTGGGAAACATAAACAGCATGGATAGAACTTTCCAGTCTTCATCCAGGTGAAACATTTTTTTGGTAGAATTTTTAAAAATCACCCTCATTAGTCCAAATGACTCATGAACTCTCTCACACAGAATCTATTAAGTCCATCACATGTATGGACTTACCATTTCTTTCTCTCATATTTTCACACAGATATCTCGTTCTTTCCATTATGGGTTTAATAATTCAGTAAAAGACAACAACAATTTTCTCTTGCTACCTTCCCACTAAATTTGAACCTTAGCTTATGGAATGGTTTTTAAATAAAACTTCCTGCAAAGAGGGAGATGTTCTCTATCTGTTCTATATCTGAACTATGGTCAGAGTGACTGAAGAACTAATGTATTTTATTTCATTATAATTAAATTAAATTTGAATAACCACATGTGACTGAAGGCTATTATATTATACAGAAAGTAAGGCCATTTGGGTGGTTTTATAGACTTCCATATTTGTCCATTTGACTACTCTTCCTCATGACCGCCAATATCATCTCCATGTCTCTCACCTCCTCACAAATCAAGTCATTCATCTGGATGGAGTTACTGAAACACATATTTTGGTCATTTCCAAGGGTTTTACTCATATGCAAGTATTGAACACAGGTAAGTTCTAACTGGTGTCTTTGCTGTTACAGCTTCAACAAGGTGGCAGTGACTAATTCTATCTATAATGCTTCTAATAATCAACACCCAAAGAACTAGAATCTTATTTAACATAATGTTGCTCTGGTACCAAACATGGTGCGTTATACCTAAGAGATGCTGACCTGTTTTCTGACACTCATGGTGGGGTGAGGAATGAAAGAACCAACACCATGAATGTGCCCCATGCTCAAAGGCTTACATCAGTTATTTTCGTACAAATCATGCTATTTAATTGTTTTTTCCAAAAGAGAGATTTTTTGCTATAGGGCACGTGTACTTGCCAGAGAGACAGAAAGACAGAAAGTGAGAAATCACCCCTCCCAAGGGGAATGGTCACGATGCAATCCCTTCTCCATTCTTCTTTTGGGATTTTGGGCATACAGGCACACACACCCAGCATGAGTTTCAAGCCACAGGGTCTGGAACTTGAACTGCAGCAGACTACATGAGAGTATAGGGACATAACCATTATGCCATCTGCTGGTCCTGCTATGTATTCTTTAAAAATAACACATGCGTTAAGTAGGTGATAACATCACTATTTTCCAGATGAAGAAAAAGAGCTTATACATGGCACAAACTGGATTATTTGATCTTGGGCAGGTCCTGTAAAGGCAGTAGTTAAACAGAGTGCATGAGTCGCCAGATTCCACATGGCTGACCATGGTTTGAGTCACAGTTCCAGTGACTTGAAAAATATACCAAGTGCACATACA